GGTAGGCGGGGGCTGGCTGGCTTCCTGGTCTGGTTATGCCTGGTTATGAAACTCATTAACAAGCCGCTCCACAAGTTTTTAGGACAACAGAGCCGCTCAGGCCAGAGTGGAACTCCAAGTGCTTAAGGAGCTGGTGGAGAGTGAAGGGCACGCACGCCCCAGGCATAGATCCACTCGAGAGTGCACCTCCCGGTAGGCTGCCTGCCCCAGGGCAGGAGAAGGAAGGTTCCCTGGGGTCTGGGAGCTCCAGGATCCACCCTGACTGCAGGGAAACCCGATCCCCGGCTGTGCAGGCAACAGGGGGTACGGAGCAGGCTGGGGAGAGGCCTGCCAGGGTCCAGCTGAACCAGGCCCAGGAGCCTACAGGGTCCTCACAGCCCCCACTCCCCAGCTCTGGTTCCCTGTGCTGCAGAGCAGCTGCTGGTCTGCCCTGGATGCCAGGAGAACCGAATGCGGGGCAGGAAGGCCTAGGTCCCTTGTAAAGGCATTTCTTTCCCAGACGAGGTGCCAGGGGTCCCCCCCCCCCACGCAAGCCTGGTACCCCCGGCCTCCGCATGCACCCACCCCATGGGTGACATCAGACAGCCTGTGCACATCACATGGGTGTTTGCAAACACCCAAGCTCTGGGAAGAGGCCAAGTGCCCCAACTTCAGAGAAGAATTAGCACTTTCCACTGAGATGCTGCCCCAGCAGAGAACTGGCTCACAGCGGCCAACACCCCATGCTGCCCTCTGTTCCTCCCTTCCTTCCTCCCCCCTTTCCCTCACTGACTTCCTGACCCCTGGCCCGTCTCCAAAATCCTCCCTGATTAAGAAGGGCAGCTTCCCATAGCGGAAGTTAAAATGTCTGAGTTGACCCCAACCCTGAGACCAGCTGACTGAAGTTTTGGCAAGTCTCCAGGGCTCCCCAGACTCGGTTTCCCCACGAAACCCCTCTCTAGTGCTAACAGCCTGAATCCTGGCACACAGAAGCCCCTCCGCTCCCTGGGAAGGGAGTAAGCTGAGGGGAGCAGCCCTCGGACCCTGGACCCACCTTCGGTGCAGTACTGGCCCCTCCAGCCAGGGTTGCACACCTTCTCGCCCCGCTCCCCACAGGTGAAGTGGCCGAAGGCATCATCCCGCGGGCGGCAGAAGACTGAGCAGCCCTCCCCGTAGTAGTGCTCGTCGCACACGAAGCGATAGGAGTACTTGAGGTCAGCACGGCCGCTGCTGTGCAGGTCCTGCGACCACTCCTCGCCCACCGTCAGGTGCCTCTGTGTGGCCAGCCGGCTGATGAGCCGCTCGGGGTTTTCTGCAGGAGAGGTGCCTGTGAGTGCGGACTCTGCACCGGAGGCTGGACAGGGCGGGGACCACCCTGCGGGGGCACCGAGACCCGTTGCCCGGTGGCTCCGTGCAGAGTAAGGGTCCAGGACCCAGCCACAGGCACAGGGGTTCGCAGAGTGCTGGGGGGTGGGGGGTTGTGTTTACCTGTGGCGAGGTCGTCGGGAGAATCTGTGTGCAGAGCTTCGATGATCAGAGAGAAGGTGCCCTGGGAGAAGCGGGGAGACAAGGAAAACTAGAACCTTCTCTTAACACTGAGCTTTGGGGACACATCAGGGAGCCCTGTGGCTGCTAGCGACCTGGGCGGTGTTTTCACTTTCCTCAAGGAAATGGAAGAACTTTTTAAAGAGTGATTTCCTGGCGTGTTTTTTCAGCCTGTTAGTACAGGATATCACGTAAAGAGAGAGAGAGAGAGAGAGAGAAAGAGACTGCGCGGAGCAGGCACGGCTGTCCTCGGTCTGCAGGTGGTGGACCCACGCGGAGGTCCTGGGGTGCCACGCGCCAGGCTGGCCCCGACCAGCCCAACTCAGCAGGGGCCTCGGGCCTTCCCACGGAAGGGCTCCTGGGACCGGGGCTGGGCACAGAGTCCGGACACGGGAGGGTCCGCCCCCCTCTGGGCCTCCCCC